TGTCAGCCTACTGGAGGAAAGGCAAGACTTACAGAAGGATGCTCCTTCAGACGGAAGCAACATTAATGACTGAATCAAGATGACTGAGAAACTGTAAAGAATAAAACAAATTTGATACCAAAAAAAAAAAAAAGAAATGGCCAATGCAGGAAATTTGGTTTCACTATACATATATGTTTCATTTTGGTTGTTGTCCCCCACCCCATGGGGGGTAAGGAAAGGGAAAAAAATGCTTGCTAATTTTTTTTTTTTTTTCTTAAGAAAAAGACCATCAGGTTAGGGCCCCAACTTCTGTATCCCTGGATGTTTGAAGTAGACATTATTGATAGAGTATCCAGTGCCCTGTCTCGCCTAACTTCCACACAGGAATCTATGTTGCAGCCTTCCCTGCTGTAGTCAATCCCACTAAACAACACTTAAATAAAATATATTTAACTTCTACAAGTACTTTCATAGCTATTCTGCTAGCCTCCTCAAATATTCCAAGAATACTCTGTCCTCTCCTTTTCCCTCTTTTACCACCTACTTTTTATTATACTTAACTGTGTACATGTCAGATCCCCCAGAGGGAATATAAATTCCTTCAGAATAAGAAAGTGTTTTTTTTCTTCACTTCATAAAACAGTGCCTCATACAAAGCAGACGTTTAATGTTTGTTGAACTGAATGTGTCTATGCTTCTGAGATAAGGCAGGTAAAACTTATATGTAAGAAAAACGTTACAAACTTTGAAAGTAGCTGGTTTTAAGGTTGTAATGAAAACTCTCAAGCTGTTTTTATGGTACTCATGGCTCCAAACTCAGGGATGAGGGTAAATTTTACATTAATGACATTCCTTCAGTGCACCAAACATTGGTAATGGATTATTTCTATTACTGAATGCTGAAATACTGAAAATCATCTTCAAAAGGCCTCCAACGGATGGATCCATTGTTGAAGACCTATGAAAGAATATGGGAAATAATTGCAAAAGATAACGTATAGACAGATTGTGATGCATACCCACAGAAAGAATACTCACCACAGGTATAATGAGGTAGAACCAATCAATAACATACAAAATTTAAGTAGAGAAATCTGAATTTCAAGAAACCTTCCCAACTTCCAAAGAAACAACATATTAAATGTTATGCAGAAAGAGTTCACTGCCATCTTCAGTTGATGAAAGTATAGGTAAAAAGCTGCAACTGCAGATCTGACTGTCCCTTAAAAGACAAGGTTCCGGTTAAAAGATCACATACATTACACTATTAGAGTAGCTTTATCAAAAGGCTTTCTCCTCTACAAAGACCAATGCCAATTTGTCCTCTCTTTTACCCAAGTAGTCACCAGTTTCCCCGTAACTTGACTCAAATGAACAAAGTTATTATTCCTACTGCAGTAATCATCCTAGGTAAAGTTTTTTGTCTTAGAGTAAAACCAATTCCATCAAGTTCTATCAGCTCATTAGTAGAAGTAATTGAGAGCCAATAAAACTCAACAGGTAAGTCAAGTCAAAGGGCTGGAGGAACAAGGTGTTCTCAACTGGGATAAGGAGTGTGGAAACCTGGTGAATTGAGTGACTTCAAGGCTGAAAAACTGACCAGAGCACTAATGAAAATGATACCCAAAGATAAACCCAATAATGTGCTTACTGAACCAGGCAGGAAAATCCAAGAAGGTGTACAAATGATACAGTAAATTAGTCAGGCAATTCAAAATGAGTCCACTTTGTTATTTTGAATGCATCTTGTAAAATCTTAAAGCAATATGTAAATGTGAGTTATTATCCCCTACAGTCTCAGTCCATCCAAAAACTCCACTGAACACTCCCACCTTTATTTCTCAGAAAGTGTCAGCTTCCATTTTAGTTGCTATCTGCATTCTAGGTACACTACAATGATGACAAACCAATAACAGTTGCAAACCCCCTGAAGATATCTTCCTTTAAATTTGTGACAATCTGGTCTAAAGGGAGGAAAGAAGCAAAGGTTATTAAAATCATCTTTTCCCTTTATTAACACCAACCATCATTTTAATATAACAAATGGTAAACTAAGGCAATTACGTCACGTTATAAGATCACACAGCTAATAAAAAGGAATTGTGAGGGACCCATGTAGCCCCAATTTAGATGGGTGACAAGAAACTCCCCATGTTATGGGGCAAAAGTATTTCTGGCTGCATAATCTGCCTCTAATATGGATAATCTACACAAAGATAACTGAGATTTAATTGTATTTCACTAAGGTCATGCCTTTACAACTGACAAACCAGACCAAAACAAATAAATTAATAATCCTATTATCAAATTGCCAATACAAATGGTGAAACTAGTGCTTTCAGATTCCAGTAACACAAGGTCAAATACCACCATTCTCAGTGCCCATTTACTGAATGCCTACTGCAAGTATGACATTATGGAAACACACCACAACAAACAATGAGGAAACCAAACTTCCTGACCTCATCCAATTCACCAAATTATATAGCTCCAATCTCTGAGACAGCATGGTATAGTAGATAATTGTGCTAGATCAGGAAAACCTCAGTTTAAGTGCCATCTCTGACACTAGCTAGGCAAGATACTTAACCTCTGTCTCCCTCTATTTCCTCATCTGTTAAGGAAACCTAGAAGGCTGTTGAGAATTATGTACAGTATTCTATAAATGTCAAACAGTAACATCATCATCAATAAAAGCTAGCATTTATACAGCACTTTAAGGTTTGCAAAGCATTTTACAAACACCTCACTGGATCCTCACAACAACCCTGAAGGTAGGGGCTATAATTATCCCCATTTAACAGATAAGGAAACTGAGGAAGACCAAGGTTAAATGATTTGTCCAGGGTCACACGGCTATTAAGTGTCTGTGGTCACATTTGAACTTGGGTCTTGCTAACTTCAGATCCAGCGCTCTATGCTGTGCAACATACCTACTTGTCTCACCACCATTAGACTGTTTTATAAGTCTATTAGTATTGCCATTAAGTAATACAAGTCGCTGCCAAGAAATAAAAAGTAAGCTGACAAGTAACAAACCCTCATTCACCTGAAAATTCCAAAGTGACTAAGAAAAATTACACAGACAAGTCACATATTTTTCTAGCATATGGTCTAAGTAAATATTGGCATTGTGTTATATTTCCTTGGACTCAAAATTATTCTAATTTCATTAATAACCACATCTCTGATGCAAAACCATGGTCCTTGAATGTTTTATGCATAAAAGTAATCAACTTTTAAGGGTGACAAGTCATATGTAAGAAAAAATGTATTCTCACCAGACAAAATGTAAACCAAAGTATACAAAAACAAAATTGTCCACAGTGAAATAGGTAAAGCCAGGGACACAAATGTATGAAATAACTAGTATATGAATCTAAAAAAATGCATGCACATATTTTCGATCAAAACTAAGAAACAAATACAAAAGAAAAATGCAGAATGTTTTGAAACAAAACAAAACAGCTTATTTAGCTCATACATAGCACCTAGTACATTTTGACCATCTTAGGTCAAGTAATAACTACAACAAAATCATATAACTTCCATATAAGTAAATGAACATTCACTTCAACAGTTTTATTAAAAGTTTAACAAATTTTTAAAACAAATTTTAAAAGGATGCCTTCTCCAATCTTAAAGAGATACAGTAGAAAAAAGTACTTATTGGGTTTGGAAAACAGAAGACAGTAAGGCCAGTCCTGACTGCAACTTATTAACTGTATGACATTAGGGGAGTCACTTAATCTTTGCTTATGTTTATTTGCTTGTTGTCTCCCTCATTAACTGTAAGTTCCTTGAGGGGAGGGGCTCTGCCTGCCTCTTTTTGTATCCCCAATGCTTAACACACTGCATGGCACGTAGCAGACATTTAATACTTATTAAAGTGAAGTGAAAATTAATCTATATGGCCTCTGTTCCCTCATCTGTAAAATGAGAGGGGCAGGACTAAACGGCCTCTAAGTTCCCTTAAAACTCGAAAGCTAAGAAACAAGTAAATTTGTTCAGGAGCCATAATTTTGGTCAATGTCTATCAGAAATAAACAATTATTGGAACCAACCTAACCTTAGGACATAACATACTCCTTTAACCAAAGAGCTAGAAAGAATAAGGCTCCAAAATTATATCATACTCGGATAACTTTTAATACTTCAATCAACATACAACTAATTCTATCAAGCTAGTTTCTTTCTGCAAAGTTGAACATAACTTCTGACCCTTGTGCTGACCACAGAAACCCCGCTGCTTTATCTAAAGCTTTAGGACCAGTTTTGTAAAATAAGGCTGCTGGACTGAATAACCAGTCCAGCTGTAACTGCGGCTGGGTGTGATATTAACAGAATTGGAAACATAACGTGAACAACTCACCACCGCAAGCTTCCTCCACCCCAACGCTACCCCCCTACCCTTGCTCCCTTCTAGACCTGATGGTCCAGTTCTGCTTGGCCTCTCCACAGAAAAAGGGGGGGGGCAGGAAAACACAAGTCACGCAGCCTAACTCCCCGAGCCCATGGCGGGGGGCGGCTTCCAGAACCACAGGCTGTGCATGGCTTCTGACACGAGCAATGTTACCGGAGCCCAAGCAAGACCGCGCAACGGGCAGCTCCTCCATGTAGCCCCACGCGTGGGGTTCGTAAACACTTCGTCCGCAGGGCCTCGGGGCTTCGCTGCTCCCGGATGCTCGGGCAGGAGGCGTCAAGGGTACACTTTCCAGCTCTCTTGGGGACCCCGGGGAGAAGCCGGGGAGCCCGGGGAGGGAAGAGAGGAAAGAAAAAAGGCGGCGAAGAAGAGAAGGGGAAGGCGAAGGAGGAGAGAGAAGAAGAAAGAGGAGGACGGAAAAGTAAGGAGAGAATGGATGAGGAAGATGAGGAAGGAGGGGAAGGATGAAGAGGAGAAGGGGCGGAGGAGAAGGAGGAATGAGAAAAAGGAGGTGGGGGAGGAGGGGAACCGGGAGGCTGCGGCGGCCTGGCCCGCCCCGGCCCGGTCCGGGCGCCCGGCCCCGGGCCTCACTCACCCTTGCGCAGCTCCCGCTCCCACACGGTGACGATGGGCCGCGAGTGCTTGCGGTGGTGGATCAGCCACAGCGACAACGTCTGCACGCTCTGCTGAGAGTTGCTCAGCTCCGACAGCTTCTTCTCCAGCGCCGCCTCCGAGAAGGCGGACATCCCCCCAGCCCGGCGCCCCCGCCGCCCAGCGTCCGGCGCCCGACACGCCGCGGAGCCCGCGGGGAGGAGGGGCTCGCCAGGCCCGGGCACCAGCGCACCGCCCCCTTACCACCGCCGCCGCCGCCGCCGCCGCCGCCACACTCCCATCCAACCCCACCGCAGACGCAAGCAAGAGCAAGATGGCGCCCCAACCGGCAGTGACATAGGCGGGTGGGTCGCTGCCACCCTCTTCCCAGCATGCACTGGGGCCCTCGGAAGGGGCGGGGCTGCGCCCTCTCGAAAGGGGGGAGGAGCGGGCGCGCCTGCGCGGGACACAAAGCTGGGAAGCACGTGGCGCGTCGGGAGCTCCCCCCAGGGGGCGGGAGGGCGGAACCTGAGGGTCCCGTTCGAAGGGTTAAATAGTACGTGAGGCATTAACCCTGGAAATTTCAGGACAGTTAGTATTTGAGCAGGCTATGACCAAATTTTTGTAAGTCCTTCGATGCCACACATCCTTTTATGCACTTAAGTTTACAGAGGACTAGGCTCTGAATTTTTTTTAACCCAATTGCGAAAATTAGTAATTTGCAAATGTAACTAGAATGGTATAGCTTTCAAGGAAATATGAATGAAATGGTGTCTGATGTTGCTTAAATACTTAATTTATAATCAAGGTTTGAAATGTAAGCCTAGTAGTGAAATCTTTGAGTCAAATGATATGGATAAGTTTAGCCCATTAATAAGTAGGAATACAGGAAAGTATTTATAGCTGGGGAAATTTTGGTGCTGTCAGTAATCAATAAAAATTTATATATTACATCAATAACAATTTATTTAAAGAATTCTTAAAAGATTTCTTGGGTATGGTTACTACTTACCGATGCAGATTACAGATCCTCTGAGGACAACAGACTCATTCATAATCAAAAACTCTCCAGCATGGTCAGGCTTGTTATTCTACTGGGCTCAGATCCACAATAAAACTAGTTCTTGGATGATTCTGATGGAAGTACTTCAGAATTCATCTTCAAAATAATTCATTTTATCCACGGGATTTTTAAAGGTTGGTACTGTGTGAAGCAAAGACTGTAACATTAGGAATTATTTTTAGAACCTTTTTTTAATAGTATTTCCCCCCAATTATATGTAAAGACAATTTTTAGCATTCATTTTTGCAACAATTTGAGTTCCAATTTTTTCTGCCTCCTCTCCCCTCCCCTCTTCCTAAAATGGCAAGCAATTTGTTATAGGTTATATGTGTGCAATCATTTAAAACATCTTTCCTTATTTGTCACGCTTCTGAAAGAAGAAACAGACCAAAAAGAAAAAAAAAAGCAGAAAAAAAATGAAAAAAGTATCCTTCACTCAGTATTCAAGGTTTATCTGGATGTTGTAGGGTGTCATATCCTTACCTGTGGGTGCTCTGCCCAAAGAAAATAAATTTTGATCACTGAAATCTTTTTCTTTTCCCCTTAAGGACCATTCTTTAAACCCAAATCACTCTGACTCTCATTGGTTGGCCAACAATAGGTCCCCATTTGGTTATTGTTTGGGTCCTGATTGGCTTAGAGTGAATGTAAATGGCAATTGTTTCTCTTTTGGCCAGGAACCCTGAAGATTGATTTTTTTTTTTTTTTGACTAGGTAAAGAGGCCATTCTGTGCCTCATTTCTTACCTAACCTTAATCACTAAATCGGTGTTGTCTCAGTCAAACTGGAACCTGTTAAAGACCTTAGTTTAAAAAGGTTGAGGTCTCCCACAGCATCCAGGGCCATCTCCCATCATCCTCATCTATATATTGCCACTGGACCCATATGGCTTCAGAGGAGAACCAGAGGCTGGTGACTTTGCACAGCCATCTCTCACTTAAATCCAATTCACTTGTATGTCATGGCATCATCTCCCTGATGTCATGGTCCTCTTCTAGACTCAAGGACAAACAATAACAATCTGGATGTGAGTAGCATTTTCCCTCATGAGTCCTTTGTAATTATATTAGATCATTGTGTTGCTAAGAAGAGCTAAGTCATTCATAGTTGATTACCACACAATGTTGCTATTACTGTGTACAACGTTTTCCTAGTTCTGCTCATTTCACTTTGCATCAGTTCATACAAGTCTTTCCAAGTTTTTTCTGAAATTTGCCTGCTCATCATTTCTTATTGCACAATAGTATTCTATGACATTCATTTACCACAACTTGTTCAGCCATTCCCCAATTGATGGGCATTCCCTCAATTTCCAATATTTTGCTACCACAAAAAGGCCTGCTATAAATGTTTTTGCATACGTAGATCCTTTTCCCTTTTTTGTGATCTCTTTGGAATACAGACCTATTAATGGTATTGCTGGATTAAAAGATATGCGCAGTTTGGTTGCCCCGTGGGCATAGTTACACATTGCTCTCCAGAATGGTTGGATCAGTTCACAACTCCACCAACAATGCATTAGTGTCACAATTTATTTTTTTAGACTCTATCCAGGTATTTATTTCACTAGGTGATAGTGAGAAAACATTTTTTTTAACTGCCTCTTTCCTTGGTCTTGGAGTAGGAGGACTTGAGTTCAAATCCGGCCTCAGACACTTGAAAGTTACTAGCTTGGTGACCCTGGGAAAGTCACTTAACACCAATTGCTAAAACAAAAACAAAAACAAAAAAAAAACCTCACTAAACTGCCTCTTTTGAAAAATTGGTCTTATTTGTTTAGTTATGTCTGTCTGATTATATCCTAGTAACAATAACAGAGTAAGGTTTGTTTTGTTTTTAGGGTTTTTTTAGTCATTTTATTATTCCTAAGTTACTGTTGGTTCCTTTTAGTACCATGACATCCATTCTTTTTCCAAATAAAATTCTGTGCATTTAGTAGCATTTACTCACTGAAAGAAGATAAAGAGCTCTGATGGCAGTTAATGATTCTAAGAATAAGGCACCCAGGTCCCTGTTCTGGGGGGAAAGATAGTCACTTTTTTTCCATTCCCTTCACATTTTTGGGAAAGGAGCCTAGCTATTTGGAAAATAGGTTATCTCTGCTATAAACTTTACCTGTGTCAATGGAATCTGCTCTTTCTTTTTGTTTTGTTGTGGTTTTTTTGTTTGTTTGTTTCAGTTTTTTTGATAGGCAATGGGGTTAAGTGACTTGCCCAGGGTTACACAGCTAGTAAGAGAATCTGCTCTTTCTAGATTTATAGGTTACAGCCATCTAGTCTAATCCCTTCATGTTACAAAAGCTTAAAGATATTATGTGACTTGCTCAAGGTCACATAGCTACGTAGTAACAGAGGCACGATTTAAATCCAAATTTTCCTGATTCCAAGTTTAATGCTTTATGCACTAAAACCACACTGCTTCCAGCTTTCTAGCTAGCTGGTACCTACCAGTCAGTGACAAGGACAGTAACCTGGTTAAAGCACCAGGAAAGAAAGGAGTAGTCAAACAGGTAGGAGACCCAGTACAAAAAAACCTAGAGAGAAAAGAAAGTATCAAGGAAGAGAGAATAACCAATAGTGTCAAAAGCTCCAGGGAGGAAGAGGAGAAGAATTGAGAAAAAGCCTTTAGATTTGGCAGTTAAGGGATCTTTGGTAACTGTTATTACAAGACAGGATTCTATTTGGGAAGTAACAATGATGCTAAAAGAAAATATCACCAACAAAAGGTTTTTGTTTTGTTGTTTTTTTTTTTTAAGAAAAAAGTAAGGGAATTAGCACTGGTAAAAATTTTTTTAAAAGAATAACATTTCCCATTCTTATGATATTTTTGGGATATAGACGTAGAAGTGGTATTGCTGGGTCTGTATCCCAAAGAGATCATAAAAACAGGAAAACGACCCACATGTACAAAAATATTTGTAGCAGTTCTTTTTGTGGTGGCAAAGAATTGGAAATTGAGGGGATGCCCATCAATTGGGGAATGGCTGAACAAGTTATGGTATATGAATGTAATGGAATACTATTGTGCTATAAGAAACAATGAGGAGGCAGACTTCAGAAAAACCTGGAAAGACTTACATGAACTGATGCAGAATGAAATGAGCAGAACCAGGAGAACATTGTACACAGTAACAGCCACACTATGAGATGACTGACTTTGATAGACTTGACTCTTCACAGCAATGCAGGAATCTAAGACAACTCCAAAAGACTCACGATGGAAAATGCTACCCACACTCGGAAAAAGAAATATGGAGCCTGAATGCAGATGGAAGCATACTATTTCCTCTGCTTTTCCTTTGTTGTTTTGTTTATTGCTTCATTCTCATGGGTCCTCCCATTAGTTCTAATTGTTCTTTACATCATGACTAATGGGAAAATATTCTTAACATGAAAGTATATGTAGAGCCTATATCAGATTGTACACTGTCTTGGGGGGGAGATAAGTGGGAGGGGGAGAAAATTTAAAACTCAAAATCTTATGTAAGTGAATGTTGAAAACTAAAAATTAATTATCAAAAAATAACATTTCTCTGTTTGTAAATGAAATACTAGAACATTTAGGAAATCCAAGAAACGTGAAAAAAATTGAGTTATTAATGACTATTAAGAAGATAGAATTTGAGATTAGTTCCCCCCCCAAAAAATTTTCATATATCAGTCAGTCAACAAGCAAATATTAAGAGATGTGGCAAGTACTGTGTTAAATGCTGGGGGGAAAAGAAAGTAAAAAAGAGAATCTCTGTCTTCAAGGAGATTTCTGGGATAAATTTATAGAAGAAATGCCATTTACTTATCATCATAACAAAATTTATCAAATATTTGCCATTAGCCTAACAAAATACATATGAGATGTAGCCAGACTTAGCTAAGTGGTGCAATGAATAGAGCTTTTGGCCTGGGGTCAGAAAGAACAGAGTTCAAACCTGGCCTTAGACACTTAGTAGCTGTGTGATCCTGGACAAGTCACTTATGCTATTTGCCTCTGTTTCCCCATCTGTAAAAGTGGGGATAGTAATAGTACCTACCTCCTAGGGTTGTTGTGAAACTCAAAAGAGAAAAAATTTGTAAAGTGCTTAGCACAGTTCCTGGTTCATAGTAGGCCCC